TTATTCATACCTTCAGTGTACAGGATGCAAGCAGATTTTGACATCAAATTTTGGGGTAAAAAAGTGCGTCTTATACACTGAAAAATATGGTAGTTAATATTTATTTCTTGTTTCATTAAATAGTTTAACATAAATAAAGCAGTGTTTTTTGTGTTTTGCCTTAAGTTGTGTCATGTTTTGCAAGATATTTTTTAAGTGTGTGCACTTCTAGTAGGAGAGCAAAGTAAAATTTTTTTCCAACTGAGAGGAAAGAGAAAGATACTTTTTTTTCCATCATCTTTTTTTATATATTTTCAAAGAAGCGTAATTAGGCTACATGATATAGTGGAAACTGAAAAAATAAGGAGATTACTAGGAGAGATACTTAAGCAGTGACTCTGCCTACTTCCTCTCATACCTCTTCTCTTTACTCTTTCTCTCTTAGATTATTTCTCATTTTTTCCCTCCATTAATTCTCATATTTCTTTTCTTCCCCTACTTCTGCCATTTCTTATTCTCTTTCTTCTTCCTACTTTTTTCCTTTATGCCATCTTTTCTCCTATTTACCCCTTCCCCTAGTCCTCTTTCTATTTCTTCACCCTCAACTGGACCTCCCATGAAGTAGCTCTTCCATTTCCTCTCAAATCTATTGTTCTTCCCCATCCCTCTTTTTGGTTCCTCTCCACCTCCTAATTCAAGAAAAACCATGTTATCTGTCGTAACTGAATGTACTATTTTACTTTACATCTGTATTGGAGAAGTTTTTAGCCAAACAGTTGAATCAGTTCACAATATTTTTTTTGAATGAAGAAAAGGTGGTGTAAAAATGACTGGCTAGGGCTCTGTGAACACATATAACCAATTTGTATCAGATTGTATTCGTATGTGATGCTGTAGCCCTTAAGAATGGCATAAGCCAAAATGTTGGGTTTGAATACAATAATTCTATTTGAAGTGTGAGTTATCTTTATTTTTTGTTGTTGTTAAAGAATAATAATTGGTCTAGTACTTACACTGAACAATATAGCCAGCTAACTGAGCAGAATCATCTTGTGATGAGTAAAGTCGTCCATGAAGGAGATCTCGACGAAGCTGGAGAAAGATCTGGTATCTGCACAAAAACATGAACCAATTAACAGTTATTTCATGTTTTTCCAGGAAACATCAATTATTTATTGACAGGAAAAAAACTCAGAATCAATTCTTTTGCACTTAAAACATAATATAGCTAATATCATATAAGAAAATAGAGTTCAAACATCAAGCATGACATGAGTGGCTCAATGATAATATATTTAAAAACAAAATCATCAAAACATTTAATAAGATATTATGATTACAAGCATATATGCACTTGGTTAATTGAATAAAACATTTTCTCCCTCTCATGTAATTTTAGAAGAATATTACACAAGTTAACATTTCCTTAAATTGAAACGTATTTCCAATAATACTTACCTCCTCTCAAACTACAGTTATTACTTGACTGCCAGGGCTTCTTCCTTTGCCCATTTAAGCACTAGTGTGATTTTTTTCTTGCTTGCTCCAGTCTTTTATACCCCATTTAATTGCCCTTGGTGATATTTATCTCATGACACTCTCCACCTATGTCAATGCACCCTCTATCCTGGTACTGTATATAAGCACCTCATTCAGATAATGTTATAACTTCTTTGTGACTGACTCAATCCGCAGTCTCCAACACCAGGGAGGAAGAGCAGGAGAAAGCATCTGCATAGATCATGGGTATGAAAAGAAGACTGGCACCATAGTGGGGGAACTGCACTACATCCAGAACAGGTATGCTCTTCACAGAGAACTTAATTCATGTACTGTGGGTGGAATTTTACATAATTTATCATTATTCTTGGCCAGGCCCCAACCAGATAACTGAGGTTCCACTGCTTGGAGTTGGAATTATATGGTCATGCTTCCTATATCCCACATTGGTGGCTAGGGCAACTGGACTACAAGATAAATATATATATTTACACTTATGAGTGGATCCAAGCCTGTAGCCATAGAGTGATACATTTTGAACTTCCAGAATCATGACAGAAAGGTAAGGATCACTGATGTGGACAAACCTTCTCCTCAACATGAAGAAGTCCAAAAGACAACACCCCAGGCTCATAATGATGGGATCTTGTATGCCTTACTCAACCTGAGGAAACAGAACTCATCTGATCTCCCCAACTGTGTGAGAAAGGTAAATAACATTTGCCCCCAAAATTATGGGGAAGATGTGGAACAAACTGTGCTCAACCAAATACCAAGGATGGGACCACTCTGTGTTTAGAATTATGAAACAAGGGACCCTCTTCCATGAATAATGTACTGAACCAATATTGATCAAAAAGAAGGGCTATGCTCATCCCAACTGGATAGCTAAGCATCAAATTTGAACTGGTATTACAAGTAGGCTCCTGCAGAGGCTGGTGTGGCTCTCCTTCTGACATCTGGAAGAAAAACATCCAGGGACCTGGGTAGGAGGGCTGCCAACTTTGCTCTCTTCTCCAAGAGTGGAGAAATTCACTCTAACATTCTGTCCACCATCCCAGCAACTGGAAACTGGGTGTGGTAAGAACACCCTAGCTGTACTTGTGGAATCTGGGGGATAATGCATGTTGGGGAGTCCTGAGGAACAGTGCTCTGGAAACATTGCAATAGGTGAACCAAGTTTCCTAAGTCTTTAAAAACAAACCCAACCTGATTTATTCAATCCAATGATGGGCAGGGACAGGCAGGATCCTCTTTACTCATGATAGTCCATGAGTGGCGGTCCAGCAAAGTACAGTAATACCACTCAGTCAGCCTATAGGTGGTCTTATGGAACACCTCATTTCTACAGAGCCTGTTGCAACCTAGATAAAGTATACTGAATTAGTGGTTGCTTGTGTGGAATTGGTTTGATAAAAGCACACCTACCTGGGCAACACTTGCCAGAGAGTGGGATCCTGAGAAAACAAGGTAAGGGACCCTGAAAGGTAGTAATGAAAATTCTCACTCCTCTGTATAATCTAGTGGAAGTGGCTAAGATAGCCATAGTGGAGTAGGAAAAAACCTCAGGTAAAGATACTGTCAGATCTTGCAAAAATATGAGATAAAAATACTGGGGGGAGGTGCATATACCTGTCTGCACAATGTCCTCCATTGGGAAAATCAACCAGGCCACTAAGGACATAGAAATTGACAAATCTGATTAGTTGTGACTTGCAGAATATTCCTTGCCTTCAAAGAGAGCCCAGAATAAAAAGTCATTGTCGAGCATCTCTAAAGTCATTAGTGTGGGCAATAAAACCTTCAAGACCCTCACTGAACATAACAACAATCAAAATCTGATCGATCATAGAAGTGAGAAATAGTGATCAGATGAATTGATGAAAAGGATTTATTCCCTTCCCTGTCTGACAGTGTCTTGGGTAAGAAGAAACAGTCTGAAGACATAGGTAGAATGTTAAAGCATTCTGTGGACAAACAGTGCAAACCACTCAATGTCTAAAGGTCAGCATCCACAAAAAATAAACCTTCAGATAAAAGTGATACATGGCATATGAGAATGAGGTCACAAACAGGTGTTGAGAAAGGGCATGTCATGGAACCCTAATATACCAGTTAGGTATCTGGAATGGTCATATGGGACAAAGGACCCAAAAAGACTCGAGGAATCAGGAGAGTACTGGGGACTCAAATAATATTTTGTCACGAATATCAAAGGGTAGTTAATAAGACTGCCTTATACAGGGTGACTGTGGAACATAAAAAAAACCTTGCCAAAGAGCCAGGTCAAGAAACAAGTTATGGTTGGCACTTCTAATCGAAGTGGGTTCAACCTCCTTTCAGTACACTATTGCCAATATGTGTCATTTCCATTGATAAATGTCCATCGTGGGATCAAGCAAAAATATTTGAGACAAATATGTGTGAAAGACTGCATAATATATATGCCTGTAGCTTGAGCTTCTGAATAGTCAGGTGTACCATGTCAGATCATGGCTGCCTCTAAAGAGATTGCCTAAGAAGAGGTGGACACTCCTGAAGGTACTGAAGAACCAGAAACCAGGGCATAGCTGCCAATCTGTTGCCATCAACAGGACCTGACAATGGGATGGAACAAATCATAGTTAGTACCTTGGGTAACATGAATTGGAGGGAAGACCTAGAGTTGTAATCCTGTCCCATCCTGACAAAATGCATCGATTGCCAAAGCCTGAAGATGAAGTACTGGAGACCAAATTGCCAGTAGTTGGGTGTTCCAATGAGTGGACAACCCACAAATCAGAGGTGCAAAAAAGGGAGCCAATCCAACAGAACCTTGCAACGTAACATCTATTCTGTTGGGAGAATCTGTTTGATTTGAGACAATTGATCTGCTACAGCAGGCATCACCTGTGGAACATGGCAAGCTAGTAGGGTGATATGATAGAAGTGTTCTCGAGAAAGGAGGTCCAAGATTTGAAAACAAGGAGCCCTGGACCAAGTTCTTCCTCGATGAGAAGTGCAAGATACCAACACGAAATTGTCAGAGTGAAACCTGACAATTTTACCCTTAATAGGGACAGACCATGAGGCATTACCTTTTGAAGAAGGACTAAAACATTATTGTCTGTGCGTGGACCCTTGACTGCTGATATATACACCCCATCCCTGAAGTGAGTCATTCATGAAGAGATGGAACTCTGGACTAGGTGGCAGCAGAGGAACCTATATCTTAGTAGTATCCCGACTTAATAACCCTTTGAGATCCAAGAATGATCCTAAGAAAAATGGGAAAATCAGTGAATCAATATTTATGATCCCTTGGTTGCATAAAGACCATTGAGAGGATCTCTTGTGCTCTCATCCCAAAGGAGAGAGGGATTCAAGTGATGCCCACATTCCCAAAAGAGAAAGAACAATCTGTGCAGTGGGAGAAGGAGAAGTGAGTAAGAGTCAGGCTTTCTGTTCCATAGCGTGGAGCCAGATGGGAGTCAGCTCAGCCCAAGACGTGTGATGAAAAAAAATCCCAGGCTAATGACATTTTGAATTGGAGCAAGAATGGATGTCTCAGCTTTGAGTATGAAGACTGCTTTGGTTGTCTCTGAAAGTAGAATCAGGGTGTGATGTTCTTACAATTGATGAGATGGTGCAAGCAGTAATTAATCATCTATGGAATTGTGTAAGCACAGTGCTATGGAATGGAGGTGACGAGAAAAAACTTGTATGATTCAATGTGAAGCTGATACTAGTCCGCAGGTAAAAACCCTGAACTGCAGTACCTGACCCTTGTACACAAAAAATGCTGATAGTGGTGGGAAACCACCACTATGGCAATGTGTACATAGGAGTCAACTACAGTGAATTTGGACATCCAAAATTGAGGATTGAGTAACTTGTGAACCTTGGATAATCTAGGCATTGATATAGATGAGAACGATCAATGATTGGACATCAACCTCCTGTCTTCTTAGGCCCAACAACTGATGGGAATAAAACCACAAAAAAACTAGTACGACTCTCTCACTTCCCCCAGACCAACCAAACTAAGTTCCAAATCTCAAGTAAGGTGTAGGCTCAAGATCAACTGGGAAAAGACTGAAAACATCACTCTTACGATGAACCAACAGAATAAAACAAATCAAAGGCAGCTTATCCCAAAGTGGCATCTTTTTGTTTTTATTTCATTTAAATTCTATGTTTATTACTGTTGATTGGAACAAAATTTAGTCAGGCAAAGCAGCATTAGGCTATCTGCTGTGTCCACTATAGGGAATCAAACTCTATATTCCAGCATTGTAAGTCTGTAAACTTACCATCGTCAGGTGGACTGAGAAGCCAACAGACTAAAGGAAGGTGCAGGAAAAATCAAATCTAAATTCTCTCCAGAATGTTGAGGATCGCCTTCAATTGCAGCCTCAAAGCCCCCCTGTAGGAACACCACGGAACTGAATATACGTGTCCATCTCACTAACAAATAAGATCACTAACAGTCTTAACTGAGAGTGACCCCCACACACACACACACACACCATTTGTTGTGCAACACTAGATATCAGAGGTGGGATAGGAGAGATTTGATTTGCTTCGGTGCCGGGAATAATAGTCTGGGAATTCGAACCGTAAATTGGCTTACCAACTGAAAAAATAAATAAATAAATTAGTTAACACAGAGAACACTCATAGTATCTCAGAACGATCGTAGCACTAGGAAACCTGTTAGTGATGCTTTGTTGAGAAAAAGTGGTAACATTATCTTGAGGTGCTTATACAGTACCAGGATAGAGGGTGCATTGACATAGGTGGAGAGTGTCATGAGACAAATATCACCAAAGGCAATTACATGGGGTTTAAAAGACTGGAGCAAGCAAGAAAAATCAGACCAATGCTTAGATGGGCAGTCGAGTAATAGCTGTAGTGCATTAGAGGTAAGTATGTTTCAGAATCAAATTTAAATGTTGTTACTATAAAAGAAAACCATTTAAGTTCTGAAATGATGTATAATTTAAAAAATTACTCATCTTAATTTTTCCAAAAGTTAAGAAAGAAATTTTCACTTCTGCTACTATAAATAAGGGATTTATGAAACTATATTAACATACATGAATGCTAAAAAAACATGTAAGTAGCTGGTATTTGTGAAATATCACATGTTTGTAACAGATCACTGTTTCTACAGAAGTACTCCAATAGTTCTCTTGATATTTATATACATCATCACTATCTTATCTACAATCACATGAATAATAGCTTTGTCTGAAATTCCATATCCACTCCCACAAGATAAAACCTAAAATAGAGAAGACATAACTTGCAAAGAAATAATCCCGAGTCAACATGATTTTTGATGATACAAAGATGATCTTTAGAACTAATTGACATATTGTTGATCTTGAACATATGTTATAAAGATTCTCAAGTACAGTTGGGTGAATTACTCTGGAGTCAAAAACTGTCATACAGGTAAGCTATAAATGCTGGAGAAAAGGGAACTGGAAAATACTAAACCAATCACTTTAGTAGGCTTGCTTCCACAGCTTTATTATTAATAATTGCAAGGTTATGCAATTAGTGACAATGGAATTTGGTTGATAAAAATAAAAAGACTAAGTGTTAAGGTTTTGTATAGGATGGAGGAGATTTGAGTGTTAGAATTTGTAAAATCTTACAATTTATTGCTAAATATGAAAGGTAATGAAATAATATTTATAGAACTTTACAACCTTTAAAAGCACATGCACATACATATTTTAAATAAAAATTCATATCACAGCTTTATTTTAATAAAATAATTCCTTGATAGAACTTTTTTTACGCTGCTTTTGATTCTATTAGAAAAGTATTAAACAGCCTTTGGAAAACAAAAAAAAGAAGAGATTGGATTCAGGATATTAAAAATGTTAGTGTAATCACCAAAATGCTTGTTAGAAGTCTGTTAAATTCATCAAAAGATAAGATTGAAAATGATAATTTTACGTTATAAGCAAGCACGAAGTTACAATCTTAGATGTGGGTGTGCTTTTCGTTCCTTTTGAATGATGACTTTGTGGATGAGCTTGTTAGAGAAAACAGTATGTATTGTATATTTAATTATTTTACAGCTTTGTTAGATGAGCTTATGGACAGAGGAGACTGTATTTAAATCCATGAGTTATTATTATTATTTTTTGGACACAATGGGGGAATTGGGCCAGAATACTGTGGTTGGAGTGAAAATGTGACCCCAACCATGTTCTGCAAGGAAACAGGTACAAGCATTAATTTTTGAACCATGTTTTTGTTTTTTTTTGGCCCTGTCTTGTTTTCTGGTTGATATGTACTTGTCATTCCGATGTACACTGCTAACCAACAGAAGATCCCCCAAACACACATTCTGCATTAAACCTCCATTTTGGGTTCCCCAAGTAATTTCTTTCCAATTCCACCTCTTTTTACAGGGATAATAAAAAGGTGACCTCAAAGTGGATTAAATGGACTTGTCTCCAGTATGTTCCATACATTAATATATTATCTACAAGTTTATATTTCAAGCTTGGCTAGGATACTTTGTAATTTTAATCAAATAACTGCAAAAACAAACAATGATATCTGAAGCTCCAAGATAATGTAAAAAATCTGCAGTTCATTACATTGAAATCACTTTAGCCAGAAAATCATTTCCTTATAGAATTGAAAACTTTATAACAAGCTTAATCTGAATTTGGACAGTGTGCATATTTTGCAAAGTTAAATGTGTTATCTACATTAGAACTTGACCTCATCAAGAGAAAAATCTATGTATATAGTTACCGAGTGATCTCTTCTTTCAATTGGTGAGGTTCTGGTGGATAAAACTTGACTCGAAAAAAGAAAATTATCGTCTGCAAGCCTGTAATTTAGATCATAATGGTTTTGGCATCTACAACTCAGATTTTTTAATAATTTCTGTAAAAGAAAACCTTCACTTTAAACACAATATAGGTAAGTAATTTTATTACAAACTTAGGTCTCTGGATCATATTCTCAGATTACATTAATCTGTGTTTACCTACAAACCTAAGAAAAGGCAATTTTTGTCCAACATTTTTCCAGGTGTGACTTCAATACTTGTGGTTTACTCCCAATAACAAACTTAATTTCTAGTTCTTCCTCCAACCAGTCCCCACTTGAATTGCTTCTAACTATCAACTTCTCTACCTTTTGCATCACCATTCTGCTCAATAACCTTAACCAATTTAAAAACTCACTTCATATTTAAGTTAAACTAAAATATAATTTTTTTCAATGACTACATTTTTCAAAAAATTCATGATGTGAAAATGCCAATTTGCAAGACAAAAAATACATTAATAAGATTTTGACTGGTCCAAAGTTATGTTAGTTATATAAATACATTGAAACGTAGAAATACATCGTTGTTGTGTGGGACTAAAATGTAGTGGCACTTGTCTGTAAAAGCTCCACTTTGAACATGTCTTACTTTTTGGTATGTTACTGGAATGTTAACATAGACAATGAAGTTTTAACCCCCTCATCTCCACCAAACTGTTCTCCAAGGAATATTGTTAATCTCATATGACTTTAAAAAGCTGAATTCCATCATTTTCTGGAAAATTCTCATTCATACATATTACCCCTGATATTGCATGCACCAAAACAACAAATTAATTAGACTGTAAACACTCATACCCAAATTCCCCCTCATCTTAACATAAGTAACTATATCCTCATTAAATGTAACCAACAGTTCCAGCATAGCATCCTTCCTAGTTAGTTCCGTAACCAAATTAGTGAAGAAAACAATCTTGGTCAACATTAACAAACCAGCCACCCTCCTTGTTAGACTCCCAATCACCATAACTGAAATTAAAATCTCCTATGATAATTACCATCTTGTGAAAAGCAATCCTCAATCAATCATGGTGTTTTCGCCAATTATGAGGATTGACAACTATGGTTCTCAATTATTCTGTAATCCTCAACACCTACACAAACTTTCCTAATTAAAGCTTTTCATCTCCAATCAACTTTCTGATATTGCTCATTGATTTTGCTCATAATCATCTCTGTCAACCTTCCCTAAAATCTAATCATACACCCAAAATAGTGGGTCTTCTGTTTCCTACATAAGTCCAGCTGCTCATGAATTTCCTGTACAAGTCTGTATCTGTTAGGTATGCCAGAAAAATTCAATGCCTACTGTTTCATTCCTTCCAACCAATTCTATACATTGTACAAGGTAATGGCACCACCAAAAAAAGTACCCATCTTTTACGTAAGTAAATTATGATATTGATATATGTTTTAAATCTGATGATTAAACATGAAATCTTCTACAGATAATTTACACAAACAATGTACATGCTATAAAAAAGTGAAGACAGGATTTGGACACCAGTTGCAACAAATCATAAGTAGCAGTTTTCAGGCATGAAATGCATATGAAGGAACACAGATATTTCATGAACATTAAGAAATATACTAGCACTTCCATAGAGTCAATTATGTGTAAGTTATCAACAACCACAGATTAACAACAGAGAACTACATGGAGTATATTAATCTTTTTGACACTTGTTTAATTAGAGATACTTCCTACTGTTACAAAAGCAACCCTTAAGGAACAAAGACATTGAATTACCCTTGACAAACTAAAAACCCCAATTGCCTAAGGGGGAAGAAGCAAACTAAATCTTCAGATAATTACTGTCTTCTTCAAAAAAAGTGAGTAACATCTAAACAAAGCTCTAGGTTAATCTGCTGAGTGATACGAGCTCATTCTCCTATAAAAGTGACAAGAATGTTTCCATTTCTTAAATTTAATGTAACAACAAAATTTTTTATGATCCATTTTTTAGGTAATTTAACTTAAAACTTTCATCTGTCCCACTATTAATGAACTCTTGGAATTTGTAATTATATCATGATTTAGAAGATGCACTTTGAAAACTTTCAACTAAAACTATTAGTACATGCAGTGTATTTCGTCAGATGAGGTGACACAAAATACTACCGCCAAACACCTTTTGTTATAAAAATTTGCACTGTAGAATTTCTACAAATAATAAAATTCTGTATGACTTGCTTTTTACTAGTAATTAATACAAAACATTATGTTTTACCTTTGACTTGCTTTAGAATAGATCGGCCTGTGTCCAACCAGTGCTGAAATGTGTAAAAAATCACCACCACTTGTATGATGTATAAAATCAATCAATATCATCTATATTAGATATTAAAAGAACATTTTGACATTTGCCTTTTAGCTTACTTTAACTTAATTTTTTCAAATTGTATGGCTCAATTTGAAATTTTACATGGTGATACTGACTGACGAAAAACCATGATAAATTTAACAAGCTATCATATCAACTTACTTGCTAATTAAGATTAGTGAATCTGTGTTTACTAAATGACAAGTAGACATTCAATTATGTTTAGACTTGTAAATATGCACAATTTACAGTTACATGTACTTTTCCCTTTCAATCTATATCACAAGACTCTAAATTAATGAACTGTCTATCATAAACCTGTATTATAAATCTATATTTATAAAAAATAAAACTTAAAGTGTGTTGTGATTTTATTACTCATTAACATCTCTACCAGCCTACCAACAAATTTAAATTATTTTAGGCAGGATTAGAGTAATCTATGAGACCTTGGGCATGGTGTTAAATACATTAATCGAATAAGTTTGACCTCCTGAGTCCAAAACTGTAATTAGATCTCAAATTGGTCAAAAGATGACAGAATTATGAGCTAAAAATTTTTACTTAGAAAAAAAAAAATCAAAGCCATTCTATGAGCTGCTGTAGCACAGATAAAAATTGGGAAGTTCAAAAAATAATAAAATTCCTGGGCCAGATAATATTTTTTTCAAGGTTATTAAAAGAGGCTGCCCCATCCATCTGTAAAAAAAAACAATATCAACTTAAATCCAACTTTCATTATTTATTAGGTCATTAAGAAATTGATGTTGCATTTTTGAACACTTTCATTAACCACCCCCCAAAAATATACATCACATATAATAGTTAAACAAACTGCCCAAACGTCACATTAGTGCAGCTTATATAATGTGTAAAGTCTAGTATCCTCTGATCCCTTATAGTGATGGCACACAATGAGACACACATTCAGCATGTAATGCTGTTTGAATACAAGAAGGGAAACAACGCCTC